ACGCTTTTGGTGACGCATATGTTGCACACTTAATCTCAGGGTCACGTATGCCATTCACAATGGTTTCGATTTTCATACGGTCCAGCAATGGGTGATCCTCTCCTGGATACGTCATTAGCACCAAACGTTCCACCTCAGCTGCAAAGTCTTGTAACGTCTCGTTTGCCCTCTGTACTCTTCCCCTTAATTCCAAAAGGTAGATATTTCGTTTATGTTCGCCACCGTACTTACGTTCCAGTGCAGCAATAACATCTTCATAGTTGTTTATAGAAGCGACAGGAATACTCTGTATAACATCAGCAGCACTGCCCTTCAATGCCAGAAGTAGTGCAACCGCTTTGTCGCTGTCGTTCCACGAATTTCTAGAAGCCACTGTCTCGAACTGTAACTTGAAAACATTGAATGACGTAGAGCCGTCGAATACAGGAGGTTTGATTTTTAGTGTGTTATCAGGAACTCGCACCGGACCACCTTTGATTTCCAGTTCCGAAATTTTCTTCTCCAGATTCGTAACCCTGTGGTCGTGGGACAGAAATTTCTTGTCAACCGACTGCACTTTCTTATCCAACTCTTTAATTTGGACCTCCACGGTTTCCACTCTCCTTCCAATAACTTCTGTAATGTACTCGAGTTTCTCGTTCATTATTCTCGAATTTTCTTCGAACATTCGTCTCGTGCTCTCTTCGCTCCTTCTGGAATTTTCCTCAAACATTTTAGCCAGCATTTCCCTGAAATCGTCACCCCTGGCAGCTACTGACGAGACTTCCCCACCGTTGGATTCGCCCATTTCCGATAAATCCACTTCATCCTTACTGTCAAACTCATATGTATCGATGTTCATACCACGGCGCTCGAACTCATCCAACAGACGTTTTTGTAGTTCAGCCTTGTTGCCAGTAGAAGACAGATAGTTGTTGTTGTGAAGTTATTCGAATAAACTGCATGGTAGAAATTTACGTTACAATTCAAATTCTTAAATTAACGGATTTCATCTAAATTAACTTAAATCTAAAGTTATATTCGTAACAATATTATTACTGTTTGCAAAGATGCATATCACATTCCAAGTGTTAGAATAAGACGTATATAGTTCTAACTAGGCTAATCATTCTCAGTACATTTAAATATGTTATCGAAAAGAAGAAGAGTCTCAATAAAATTTTACTTTACTTATATTTTTATATAAAATGTGAAACTATAGGTTCGTTCCCGTACTTTTTGATAGTAAAGCTAGTAAAAGAGCGAACTATCAAAAATTACTCTCACATACAAGATTAGCGCAAAAAGTAAAGGAACGAAAAATAGTTAAAACATGAAGAAACGTCAAAATCAAAAAAAAAAGACTACAGAAACCTTATGCACACAAAAAAACAATAACAAAAAGTTAAACGGCGTCCATTACATGATTCTGATAATATTAATATTTATTGTTTATTTTTTTATTTGTATAATTTAGAGGAAAACATTATGGAATATATGGAAGTGGAGTTTCCGACGACTCCAAGCCCGGAAAGTCTTATATGGCTGGACGCTCCCATAATGATTAGAATGTTTTAGCGAACTAGAACAGCAAGATATGGAACAAGTCGGGTACATTTTAAGAGAACTTAAGAGTAAGACTTTCACACATGGACAGGCGCATACATGGTTACGCAATATATTTTTCATCTAGTTATATAGCACAAACCATAACCTTTAAAATGATAAAATAATACGGCTGATTAAAACAACATACTCTCCGAACTTTCAAGGCCCATATCTCGGGAAGTATGCATTTCTCCCCATTAAATATATATCACTGTAATCAGTTCACAGAGGACTATTTACTGTAAAAATGTCAAAGCGATCCAAGTGGAGCCCCTAAACTTGACTTAAGCCCAAGATATTTTGAACCAATGTACACACATTGGTTAGTACGATTAACCAACCCAACCCAAGTCGTCATTCTATAGTATCTTCATCTGAATCTTCTGCCAGCCATTCATCTTCGCTATCCTCCAAAAGAGAAAAAAATCTGTTTGTCAATTTTAAAATTTCTTATTTGTTTTTTTTTTTTTCAAGCAAATGTGTGTGCGTCTGTCCCTTTTGTTGAAGCGCTAGCTTTCATATGCTTTATTTCGGACTGTATATCTCTGGCAATCAAATGTCAAATTCATAATTTACTACATTTACTATTTCGTGCTAGGCCAAATTGGTCTTGCAGAAAATAGGAGAAGAGAACGCCATTTTGGTTTTAACACTCTTAAATTTAACTTCAATTTTTCCTACTTTTCGGTGTAAGGAAACGCTTTTCTAGCAAAAATTGCAAAACTAGTACAATATAGTACTATATTGCAGGTTTGGGAACACAGCTTATGTGTGCATATTACACGTTAGTATTGATAACCACCTTGTCCAAGCAATTTCAAAGCAGCGGCCACTTTTATTGGAGTTGGAATTGCTATGGATTCATTTGAGACGAAAATTGTGTATATAAATATATACAAATTAAATATTTGAAAACGTTTGTCACATACGCCCATGTGACATGTTCCGAGAGTTTTTGAATTCCCATACTTTTTAAATTCCCATGTTGTGCAAAATGGTGTGCTAAATTTCGAGCGAAATTGCGGCTCGAAAGCATAGCTGTGTTCAATAAAAAACATATGTTTCATTGGAATTTGCAATTTGTTTAACAACAAAATTAAGAAAAAATATGCCTGCTGACTTATTAATTGCCCTGGTTTCTACCAGAAAAAGTCTAATGATACTGGACCGTGTTAAAATAAGCATTTATGGATATTTTTAGAGAAGTTGGTCCTATCATACACAAGGGTACCATTCCCGAAAGCCTGCAGTCAGCAACTACCTTAAGATTTCTGGCTGTTGGTGGGTTTTAGAGGGTAGTGGCAAATGATTTAAATATAAGTGTTGATCGCAACAATGTGTAAAATGTTGTGGAGGGTAATGAAAGTCATGGAAGACAAAGTGTGTGCAAGCTGTGGACAGCTCCAGACCAGGATCCAGCCATGATGCTTTTATTTGGCATATGAGTGCAGCTAGGCAGCATTAACAAAAGAGGAAATGGTATGCAAAATAGTTGGCTTCTAGGAGACAGTGGTTACGCTTTAGAAACATTTTTGATGACGCCCTATAAACAAGTGGAGCATGGATCTTGTCAACATCCATATAATATAGTGCACACATCTGCAAGAAACATTATTAAAAGGACTAATGGAATTCTTAAAAGATTTTTTATAGATTCTATTTTTATTCTGATCATATGGTGGTTGAGTTGCCTGATTGATCTCAAAAATGTTACGCCCTGTTTTTGATAAAAGGAGCTCTATTTTATTTTCTTTAATTTTACTAAAAAACTAATGTAAATACTGTATTTATTAAATAAATATTGTATAAACACGTTAAATATTACTTCAGCGTTCTTTTTAAATTTGTACGTGCTCAGAAAAACGCGTACGATCTCATTTCGTTTTCAATCCACAAGGCTATATGTGCTCGAATTATATTCCCAATATTTTTTTGGGAATTCGGAATGCAGCACACCAAATTTGGGAAAATATTTCACATTCGAGCAAACTCGAAATGCAGCACATGGGCGTTTATATCGTTCATCATTTTTGCTTTTTAAAAAACACTCGTACCACACAAAAATATGTTTTTATTTACAATTTTTTGACGTTTCCTTTTGTCATTCTTCGTTATTGTTTACTTTGAGGTGACAGTGTTGCCCAATTTTCGATTTAGTTTGCGAATGCGTGAGCGATACAGAGTACCAAATTGAACTCTTAACGCATTTGGCTTTCGCATCGCACTTGCTTTCGCAACGCAATACAGAGTAACCCCCCTGTAAAAATTTTGTTGCCTGTGAGCAACATTGGATTCAAAAGAAAAACTAAAATAACCCTAGGGGGTTTATTCATTAACTGTTTTCGTGTACAATTGCAGCGTTTCATAAATAGGCAAGAAGGAATGTATTGTATTCTTTATTTATTTTTACTGTTATAATATTTTATGTGGATTTTACAAACATTTAAAAGTTTAAATATGTAATATTTATCTGGTGTTTAGATGTGGGTAAGTGTTTATACTTTTTTAGAGGTCATAACAGAATCTTCTTTGCATGATATATCATATATGTGACATATCTTCCAATTAATTTTATTCTGGAGTATTTCTTGTCACCACCGCTTGTGAAATGTACGTAAACATGAACGTACCGTTGTTGGTATTACTTTTATTTCTAGCAGAAAAATTAAAATTCAGCAGACTTTACAGATGATGCTTCTCATGTATTTGGCTTAGTGAGGACTTCGTCGCAATCAATATAACTAACGGCTATGTGATAAGCTTCAGTGCTGGAGTTGATTTCCTTCCATCATTACCAGGGCCATTTGATGTTATATGGACATGGCAACATACACGGTCTGAATGTAGTAGTAGCAGTAAACGTTATTTTTAGGGATGGCAGATCAGATATCGAATTTCTAGTATGCGCTAAAATGTTCTTAAGATCAAAAATGTTTTAATAAATGAAAAACAAAATAGAAATAAAAACAACAAAAAAAAAAAATTGGAAATAAATGTATATAAAGGAGAATAAAGAATATACACAACGTATAATGGAGGAGAGAAATAAATCCATTTGCTTTTAGAGGAATACCTAAGAATATTTGAGATACGCAATGAGACGATATAGATTTATTAAAGAATCCAGATGATTTGGAAATAAATTATAAACAATTTTTTTCCAAGGGAAGATTGTTTTTTTATCTGGCAAACCATCTCACTTTTTTTGTAATTGTACAAAAATATTTGAAACTGTAACGAAATTTCAAATTTTAGTAGGGTCGAGAAAAACAATTTGCTATGTTTCTTTTTGAATAAATGTGTGTGTGAAAAATCATTGTCTCCCTAAAAGAAGGAAATATGGAATTAGACATCGAGAATATGCCCCTTTTTAATTGATCTGCAATTAGATAAATATACCACCATCGACCACCTTAATAACGACGTCGTTCACGACTGCGTGAACGCCTTCGATCAGTCGACCTTGGTCGTCGGTGATCACGATCTCTTGATCTGTCTCGATCGTGATTTTGTCGATTGCGTTCTCTTTCACGTTCACGTTCCCTTTCACGTTCTTTTTCACGTTCAAGTTCTCTTTGTTTTAGACGTTGTTTTTGTTCTTCTAAGCGCTTCAAACGTAAAGCTTCCTTTTCAGCAATCTGCAAATAAACGTTAAAATAAATAATGTTAAGTACGGTTTTGAATAAAAACAAAATTAAATATTTTATTAAAAATATACACAAGTCATTATACAAACTTGTTGAAAGGTTAATGTAATAAATAGAGGGAATGAAATTTTGCCTATGAATGATTTATTGAAAATGTTTATTCCATTTTTAAAACTTTTAAGGAAATGCACGTAACTGATGTACAAAATGAGGCATTGATCATAAAAAAAAATCGATGGGCTGTGTGAAGCCGATCAATTTAGCAGGATTTCAAATTAAAATAATCTATGTTATTAATTATGTGTATAGGACATATAGTATTGCCTGTGCGAATGTTGTTTTACATAGTGTAACTGTGTAACAACATATGCAAGCAATTCTTTTTTTTTTAATTAGCAAAAAAATGTTAGTATACCAATAGAAAATTATCTGTACCTGTTCTGGAGTTAAAGGCAACCAATATATACAAGGTGTTGCCTTTGTTTTACGAAATAGGTCATCCAATAATCTCAGTGGAGGATCATCTTTTTTCTTTTGTTTTCGTGCTGAAAATGTGAAACATTAAAAATAATGACATTGTAATTGAACTGCTGAATTGTCTTTTTTTACCAGGTGATAGACTACTGCTCCGGTTTTCTCTATCACGGCGCAGTCTCCTTTCTCTGTCGCGGTCATTCCTTTCGCGATCATTTCTATCAAAATCTCTGTTTCTAGAGTTATCACGTTCACGATCCCTGCTACGTTCTCGGCGTCTTTCCATGTCCTTGATACCTTTATTGTCCCGATCCATGTTCTCCTTTTTGCCAACATCCCACTCGCGCACTGGCCGAGACCCCTATGACAAAAAAATGTATAAGTATATATAAAAAAAATTGGACCGAGTTGAACTCACCCTTTTCTCCTCTTCAATGCGATCTCTATTCCAGCCCGAACCAACTAATACATTGTCTTTGCTTGTTTCTTGGCCAAACTTGGGAGCCTCTTCCTTTGTGGATTCTATTACTTTAAGCATATCAGACTTATTTCCGAAATCGACATTTAAACATTTAGGATTTGATGCAGGCCACCGTACACCATGTAATGCATGACGTGTCTCTATGGCTTCACTAAATGGAAACAAAAGGAAACAATATATTATGTTTTGCTAGAAATATAATTACAAAATTAAAATAACAAAAAAAGAAAAGAAATACATATCAAAACATATTTTTATTAGTCTGGGTTTTGTTAGCAACTCTGCTGAATTCTTAAAAGAGTTTTCATTTTTTAACGAGTTTTCATCCTGTTCCGTATGGTATTTCGCGATTAAAATGTTGACAGCAAGAGAAGACTTATGTACCTTAAGGAACATGGTACTAATGTTGCACAACTCCTTTTAACCTAATTTTTTATACACTGGTATTTGTAAACAACAAATGGCAAATATTTTTCAAATTTAAAAGAACGCTAATAAATGCTGAAATATTTTGGTGGTCGTTTGGAGAATAACAACGTTACCCAAATTCCAACGTTGCACACAAAAAGATTCATGCTGGTCGCTTCCCGTACAGCAAGAATCACCTACTTTTAATACGATAATAAAATTTCCTTTGTGATATTGAGTAGCAAAAACTAAAAGCTTCTTGCAGTACGTGAATGGACCAAAATTTAAATCGATTGAAAACGAAAATTAATGTTAATGTTGTTATCATGACTATGTACATATGTCATTTACTTACTCTTCAGTTTCATATTCGACGTAACATTTAGATTTAATGCGATCAATCCAAAAGCCATCTTCGACTATTTTTCCAGTTCTTGCTAGGAGTCCTTTTAATTGTAGTACGGTAAACGGGCGTACTAAATTTGTTATATATAAAACACAACTGGATTGATTTCGGGCCGGACTAGGTTGACGTTGTATGGGGTCCGGTACAGTTCCAACACCAGGAACCATTTGATCTTGACGATTATTCTCTTTCGGTTGTGGCCTCGGCTTCACTGTTATTTCAACTTTGTCTGTGGAAATACGGCGCCTTTCCGGTTCTGGTGAAGGTGACTGTTCGCCTTCCTCACGCTCGGAGGTCACATCCTCAATATCAGAAGAAGACTCTAATTGCACATCGCTCAACGGCACAGGGTGAACGTCGGCAATAAGAGTCTTCAACGAATCTGTGGAAATGGCCATAATATGTTCTTTGCTTTCTGTGGTTTTCTTTGTTATCCAACGACGTTTGCGGGTAGTGGTATTGGTGGCGGAAACTGCTGTAGTATTCTTGTTGCTAGTGTGACCTGTATCAGCTGCTGCAGTAGTATTAGAGGTTTCATTAGTTTTACCATCTTGTTTATGGTTTACCTCCTCCAACTTAGGTTCATCCTTTTGGGGTGTGTCATCCGTCGTTGTGTGTTCCTCAATACATTTTTCTTCCTTTTCGATAACTTCTCCGTCTTCAGTCCCTTCGTCTTCCTTGGTGTCCTTCCTTACTGGGGATAGCTTATGTGGGCTGCTATTACTACGTGATCTGGGGGAATTATCACGAGTGTGCAATTTTACCTCATCTTTATCATCTTGATCTTCTACCGGTGACACTATCTCTTTGTCACTTCTAACCGACGAATGCGACTCTTCCTCGAACGTTCCAATTACTTTTTCATTCTTTGAGCTACTTTCTTCAGCTTTCCCAGCATTTTCTTCTTCATGATTATCGGGACTTTCGTCGTTCACTTTTTGGTTTTCTTCTTGTTTTTTGTCATCGCCTTCATTTGTGTCTACCTTCTCCTCCGAAGGTATTGAATTTTCTGGTTCCTCCTTTAAAACATCCAATTTACCTTGACTTGGTTCTTGCTCTTTCTTGTTTTTCTCAGATTCATCTTCGTCATTAGCAGCATTTCCTTCTTCTTGAATAGATGCAATATTGTTATCCAGTGGTGTTTGTTCTCTTCGATTGCGACGACGACGCACAGGGCTTGTTGTTTCTTGTTGTTCTTTGACAGGAGTTCTTGTACTGCGTGAACTTCGTCTACGCCTAATACCAACTCGCTCTTCGCTGGAATCCCTTTCTTTTTCACCGGCACTGTGCTCCCCAGTTTCTGATACCTGTTTTTCATTTGTATCATTACTTTTTAATTCATTTTTGTCATCTTCAGATATGGATGGCGATTTTCTACGGCGGTTAGTACGACGCGACGCCGGAGCTGGTGAGGATACGTCAGTAGATTTTTTTCGTTCACTTCTTCTACGCATTTTTAAACAAGACGAATCGTCTTTCAAAATACTTCGATTTTAATATAAAATACTATCAATGCACAAAATTTATTTTTCACGCGTTTCTACTTAGTTGTATAAATTTAATGCTTTTTCAAGCGGTGTGGAGCCATTTTTTATTTTTATCGAATACCAGTTACCCAATTACCAAAACAAGGTCAGATGTCCCTGCCTAAACTCGTACGTGTGCGTATGATTAGAATATATTTAATAAGGTGGATGCGTTAGTAATCTATTACAATCCTACATAAACTAATCTTGTGTTTACAAACGATTTTTTTGGGTAGGCAATAGCAAATATATGACCTGTTCCCGAACTGCAAGAATCTACTACTTTATACTACGATAACGAGTTTTTCTTTATGGTATCGAAGAAAATAGTAAAATCGAGTAGATTGCAGTACGGGAACAGACCAATATATAACATTTTAACCAATACATTTTCAATGGAGAACAATTGTTAAGAAAATTAAGATATTATGTATGTAATGAAATGTATATGTATACACATGGTACAATTATAGTACATTTACATTACTGGACTTTATTAACCTTATGTGTTTAAGTAGTCAATTCCATTACACCTATGTCAAATAAATCCTAATAAAGTAGGTTAACCGGTTATAAAAGTTATAATGTATATGCCATTTTATTCAAGATAGTCTATAGCAACTTATAAACTATTAACTATTTTTTATATTGTGGCTTGTTATGCCAAAGTCAAGGGGGAAACATATAAGAGGACTTTAAGATTGGCATGTTAAGCTGGCTTATTTTATTGTACAAGAATAAAGGAGAACGGCTTTCAAATTCAAGTATGACTCTCAGTCGCTTCTCAACTCTTGTTGATGCTAGACTACGAACGCGCGTATACACTCATAAAGGCTGACTTCCAAAATGTATCAATGCAATGTTTGTATACAATAGTACTATGGTATTTAAACTTCGTACACATGCAAAGTTACTAAACATCGCAACTAGGAATTTTTCAAACATTTACAATATAAAATGAATGTGATGCAATGCATCACTAACAAATCAGCTGTTTAACGATATAAACAAATATGTATGGAAAGCACGGCAGTAAAAAAATATTCGGCAATATTGTTGTATTTTATCAGATTGTCAAAAAAAAATCCGGGCAAACTTCGATGTATTTATAAAAGTTAAATAAAAGAAAAATGTTTTTTTTTTTAAATTACCCAAATAATTTCAAAAAAGGGAAAGATCTTGTCAATGAACAACGTTTAAAATGCATTTATTTGTTACACATATTAATATTTTTAATAAAATTACTTTTGTGAATCTGTCATTAACTTTTTTCTTTGGATATTTGATTTTGTGCTCGTAAACAGACAAGGCATCAACAATAAAACCGATGCCTTAGGTCTTTTATTCAAATATATCAATATTTGAGACGATTTTAACAAAGCCCACATTATTCTCATCCCAAGCCTGTATCCCATTGTCATTGTAGACTCTATTCGACACACAATTTTGTGCTCGTAAACAGACAAGGCATCAACAATAAAACCGATGCCTTAGGTCTTTTATTCAAATATATCAATATTTGAGACGATTTTAACAAAGCCCACATTATTCTCATCCCAAGCCTGTATCCCATTGTCATTGTAGACTCTATTCGACACACAAAGGGAAATTTCGCCTCAATTGGGAAAAAAGTCGCACCATCTTGTATACGAGAGTTATACCTATATCTTAACCGATTCTTGACAATTTGGATGAGTCGTAATTGCATTTTTCGGATAACTAATGTTACCTTCATTTGGGTTACAAAAATACTTTCCGTATGTCATCAAATGTACAATTACAATTCCCTGTACCACGGGATGTAAAAATATCTAATAGGCAATTTCGAAATAATTTCAATAAAACCAACTCAAAACGCTCCACGTGAATATTTCCTTAGTAAATATCTTCGTGTACGAGCATAAGAAGAAGTTGCACATAATTTCAAAAAGTGGCACATTTGTCCGAAAAAAATATCAAAATTGCTACTTTAGTCACAATGGTAACGCTGGCTGTCACTTTTTATCCATTGGTCTGTTCCCGTACTGCAAGAATCTACGAGTTTTTACTATTTTTTCCGATATCATAAAGGAAAAAAGTGTTATCGTAGTAAAAAATAGTAGATTCTTGCAGTACGGGAACAGACCACATATGTAATTCCTTATGGTGTTTTTACACGATATGTATTTTACATATGTGCTGTCACTTATTTCATCCATATGTAATTCCTTATTTGTGTCAAAATTAGAAGCGTACACAAAACTTGTATTTTTGTGTTCAAATCGGCATATGTATTTTACATATGACATAACCTATAAAAAAAAACACTTTTATTGTTTCTTAAATCAACATCATTTTTTTATTAAACACGTACAAACGAAATAATAATTTGTAATTGTTGCCTTTTCATAATTTTCTTTGACTTGCAATTGAATAATAACAATTTATAATTTTTGCTTTTTCATAATTTTCTTCGACTTGCAAAATGGTACAATTATAAAAGGTAACAGCAAAACCCAGCTGATTTGATTCCAACGTAATACTAATGTCAATATGAATATGACAAAAAATGTTTAAAAATAAATTATTTTGAACATTCGAAAATATTACATTTTCGAAATAAATATAATATGTTTGTTTACATTTTTCTGTCAAATGACGTTGACACTAGTATAAATTACAACAACAAATTTCCAACAATCTGCCAAATTTTTCCTTATAATATTTGAAATGGTTGGCAACACTGCACCTCGAATTCAAGTAGAAATTACCCACTTTGACAGTTAATCGAGATATCAGCTGCGCTAAATGGACTACCTATTCATTGTGCGATGGTGGAGACAAAAACAAAGTTTTTTGTTTTGATACATCACCTTATTATTGTATTATGGTTTTGAACGTTCGGTGTCACCATGTAATTGAATTATAAATATGTTTTTAATTCATTGTAACATTGATAACTTATAGTAAGTGCCGGGCATTGATGTTTTTAGCATTGTTCGTATGTTTGAATTGGAGGAGTTTTAAATGTTGAAATTCTTAACGTGTAATACGTTTCGAAACATATACCGTTGTTATTCAAAAGTAAAAACGGGTTCTTTGGAAATGAAATATCTAAACGTTGCGGAAAAAAATGATGCTGCTAAAACAATTGCAGGCCAATTGTCAAATGGAACAGCACGAAGAGTAAGAAGTGAACATCGCTTCGGTTTCATTTATGGAAATAATACTTGTTGCTTTCAGCGCGAAGGATATTCTGTCTACAACAAAATATATGATTTTGAGGCTATTGTCAAAGGAACGAAGTCTAAAATGGTAAAGAATGCATTCAATATAGTTTTTACAATAATTTGTATTAAATGGGAGGGCTGTACTCGAATTAGTCCAAATGTCAAGTTTATGGCTCTACCCGGATTGCAATTTATACTGTAGGTAATTCTCCTGGTGATGATTGCAATACACTAAATTTCTTTCGAATGGCAAATGTATGGATTGATGTTAGTCGGCTCACATAAATATAGATAGCCCAGTCGGACTTCATTACTTTCTTTACATACATATTTGACATCATTTATAAAAAACACTATGGTATATTTCTACTAATTGAAAACAAAGAAAGAAAAGCTGCGAGAAAGCTTAAGTATTTGTATTTGACAATAACATTAGAAATTAATTTCGGATATTTGGTTCCTCGGTTAATTGAACAAAAAATTGTGCAAATTTTGATGTGCAATGAAACGAAAAATAGTGTAATGTACATTTTGTAGGTGGAATTCATACTTCCGGAATATGAAGCTTGGAACTTCGGGGAATATTTTACTTAAGTTCGGCCCGACTTCACGTGGACATACAAAATACCATCACTCAGTCTGAATAAACCGAAAAGGACGCATGGCGGTTGAATAATATGTCTGAAATCTACCAAATTTTTAGAGAGGGTTATACCAAACGTGGACTCATTTTTGTAATACCAAACATCCTCGATGTACTGGCAATGTCGGAGCCTCATAAATTAAATCTATCGCAAATATTGCCAGACTACTTAGCGTTATAAACCATCAAGATATTTCCGAAGATTGCGTGAAAACATGTGTATAGGGTAAGTGCACCAATAATCGGCACTTTAAGGATTTTCGCATTTCACCATTCCAAGTGCTTTTTTTTCCTATATTGTATGTAGGTTCATATGTTTCCCAAATTTGTTTACTCCCCGATGCAATAAAAAATTGTTAAATTAATTTGTATTAAAGTAGAGTAAATTTATAATAAGGTAAAATAGTGCCTTTTTGCCAATAGTCGGCACTTTTTTCCAATTGTCGGCATGTCATGTTCCAATAGCCAGCATGTCGCATTTTAGTTAATGACAAATTATATATTTAATAGATTTTTCTGCTATTTGCAATAATAAATTAGTGCTATCGCACGTTTCCATCAGTGTTGTATTGAAAAAAGTTATATAAAATAATTGTATTTCTTAAAATATTGCACATTTTTGGAACTTTTTATTCAATTCTCGGCATGACTAATTTACGCATTTCAGAGGTTAAAGGAATTTAAGATAAAAATTATGTCTTCTATTATGTAAAGCCACTCTAAAATATTTTTTTTTTATAAATTTATCGGAATTTTGAGCACTTATTTAACATTTTTTCCAATTTTGAGCCAAAATGATCAAAAAGGTGCATTGTTGTTCCTAAGGACGGCATCGATAAAAATATGATATTTACAAATATTTTTTTAGTAGATTTGAATTCTAAAGTGTACTTCTGAATGCTCTTTACAATTACGAAGAGATCCTTGTGAAAATATATAATTTTAAGTCTTTTATATTATTACAAGGTAACTCCAAAACTACAACAAATATAATTCAACAACAGCCACATTGAAAATTGTTATTGTATGTAACACTAGTGTCAATTTGTTATGTCGAAAAATCTAAACAAAACATA